TCAAAGAATCAGCTCTTAGTTTCATTGATCTTTTGTATTGTTTTTTAAATTCTCTATGTCATTTATTTCTGCTCTGATCTTTATTTCCTTCCTTCTTCTTCTGGGCTTTTGTTGTTGTTCTCTTTCTAATTGTTTTAATGTAGGGTTAAATCATTTATCTGAGATTTTTCTTGCTTCTTTAGTTAGGCCTATAAAGTTATGAAATTCCCTGTCAGGACTGCTTTCACTGTGTCCTATAGATTTTTGGTTGTTGCGTGTTCATTTTCAATTGTTTCCAGGAAGTTTTTCTGCTTTGATATCATTGGTAACCCATTCATTGTTTAATAACATACTATGTAGCCTCCATGTGTTTGAATGTTTTTGAGATTTTTATTGTAGTTGATTTCTACTTTTTTTGCCCTTATGATCTGAGGAGATTCTTGATATTATTTCAATATTCTTGAACTTGTATAGACTTATTTTGTGTCCTGACATGTGGTCTATCTTTCAGATTATTCCATGTACACTTGAGAAGAACATATTTTTTTTGCTTTGAAGTGTAATACTCTGAAGATCCTAATTAAATCCATCTGATTTAGTGTGACATTTAAGGCTGCTGTTTCCTTGTTACTATTTTGTCTGAAAGTTCTATCCATTGATGTCAATGTGGTATTAAAATCCCCTACTATGACTGTACTGCTGTCAATCTATCCCTTTATATCTATCAAGATTTGATTTATATATTTAAGAGGATGCAAAAATGTTTACAAGGGTTAAATCATCTTGTTGGATTGAACTCTTTATCATTATCTAATGTCCTCCTTTTTCTCTTATTATAGCATTTTTAAAGTGTATTCCGTGGGATATAAGTATTGCTACCTCAACTTTTTTTAATTTCCATTTTTAAGATATGTTTTTTCCCATCTCTTTTCTTTCAGTCTATGTGTATGCTTTGTTCTCAGGTGGGTCTTTTGTATACATTATATATATGATTCTTGTTTTCTTAGCCATTCTGTCACTTTATAATTTTCATTGGAACATTTAATCTATGTACATTTAAAGTCATTATTGATAGGTACATAATTATTACCATTTTATTCTTTAAACTTATGTTCCTCTCTTCTTCTTAAAGAAGATCCACTAACATTTCATGTAATATTGGTTTGATGATCATGAACTCCATTAGCTTTTTCTTGTCTTAGAAACCATTTATTTCTCCTTCAATTCTAAATGATAGGCTTACTTGGTTAGAATTGTCTTGGTTATAGGTCCTTGGTTTTCATCATTTTGAATATATCATGCCAATCCCTTCTGGCCTGAAATGTTTCTTTTGAGAAATCAACTGACAGTCTTATGGGAACTCTCTTGGAGATAAATAACTTTCTTTTTCTTGGTGCTTTTTTTTCAGTATGTTTTTATTGATTTCAAAGAGAGGAAGGGAGAGGGAGAGAGGGATAGAAACATCAATGATGAGAGAGAATCATTGACCGACTTCTTCCTGCTCAACCCCTACTGGGGATCAAGCCTGCAACCTGGGTCTGTGCCCTGACAGGGAATCAAACCATGACCTCCTGGTTCATGGGTCAATGCTCAATCACTGAGCAACACTGGCCCAGGCTCTCTTGATGCTTCTAAGATTCTCTCTTTGTCTTTAACTATTGCCATTTTATTTATGACTAGAGGCCCAGTGCACAAAATTCGTGCATGGATAGGGTCCCTAGGCCTGGCTGGCAATCAGGTCCGATTGGGGCCTTCCGTCCCCTGGCTGCCAACTGCCAGCCAGGGCCTTCCTTCATTCTGTGCTGCCCCCTGGTGGTCAGTGCACATCATAGCAAGCGGTCAAACTCCCAAGGGGACAATTTGCATATTAGCCTTTTATTATATAGTATGTTCTTTGTGTTGCCCTCTTTGGTTTCATCTTGTTTGGGACTCAGCAAATTCTGAACTTGTGTATCTTTTTTCTTTAGCAGGTTATGGAAGTTTTCAGTCATTATTTCTTCAAATAGGTTCTCAATCCCTTGCTCTCTTTTCCTTCTGGTACTTTTATGATATAAATGTTGCCACCCTTGATGTTGTTTCAGATGTCCCTTAAAATATCCTCATTTTTTAAATTTTGTTTTCTTTTTGCTGCTCTGATGGGCATTTTCTGCTACCTGGTCTTCCAAGTAGCTACTTTAGTTCTCTGCTTCACCTAATCTATTTATTCCTTCTAGTATGTTCTTCGTTTCAGTTATTTTATTCTTCATTTCTGACTGGTTCCTTTTTATGTTTTCTATATCCTTTTTTATCCTTGCTATCTCCTTGGTGAAGTTCTCGCTCAATTCCTTGAGCATCCTTTTAACCATTCTTTTGAACTCTGTATCTGGTAGATTTCTTGCCTCAATTTCATTTAGCTCTTTTTTTTTTGGAGATTTCTTCAGCTCTTTCATTTGAGGCATGTTTCTTTGTTTTCCCATTTTGGTTGCTTCTCTTTGTTTGTTTCTATGTATTAGGTAGATCTGCTATATTTCTCGGTCTTGGTTGAGTGGCCTAATGTAGTAAGTGTCTTGTGGGGCCATCTCCCTGACCACCTGAGCCAGGACTGTTTCTTGTATAATTTATATGAGCCTTGATTGCTGTTGGCATGTCCATGGCTGCTATTGACTCTAAAGCTGGCTGGCTGTGCAAATTTGCCATGACCACAGAGTATGAGCAGCTGAGCAAGGTCTGATCGCACATTGCATAATTTGCCCCAGCACGTTCCTGGTGCTGACTGAGAGCTCCCTTTAGGAGTGGCACTTACAGAGTTTGTCAGATGGTGCTCTGTTAGTTCTGTTGTGCTCTGTTAGCTCTGTTGCCCTCTGTGAAGGGACTCCAGTGCAGGTCAATATCAGATGCTTCCTGTGACCAGCTGGGGCTACCTATTATGAAATATAAAGCCAACTGCATTTGTTAGCTGCCTGTTCTTAGCCTGGGTGCATGTGAAGTTAGAAGGGCCAAACTGTGAACCTAGGCCTGCTGCTTCCTGTACCAGGCCTGCAGCAAATGGCCCAAGGCACCCCAAGACCCCCTACTGCCTGCCAGCTTCCCATACATCTCAGCCACTGAAATAGCATCAGGTGGTACTTAGTGAGTCACCAGGGTGGGGCAAGTGGTGTTTGCCAGGTTAAAACAGTCAGCAAAAGTCTCAGAGTACACAAAGGCCAGCTGTCACCCACCTGGGGCCTGTGGAACTTTGTAGTTGGGCAGTTTCAAGGAGCCTTCAGGATGGAGCTAGGAAAGTTCACCAGGCTAATGCAGATTAAGATTTGGCTGTGTGGAGGGAGGGTTCAACACAAGAAAGTTAATGCCTGTTCACAGTGGAGGAAGATGGCTCTAGACATGAAGCCATACAACGTTTCTTCCTGTATATCTCACCCCCTCAAGAATCAGTGGAATTCCTCGAGCATTTTTTAAGAAATACTATAATGTGGGCCCAGAGTGGTTGCTGCTGACAGTGCCTCAGGTTGTGTGGGAATTGGGTAGGGTGGGGCCTTAGGGAGGCACCAGGGTAGAGCTAGTGTAGCTCACCAGGCTAATACCCAGTGGGGAGAGTCCTCAACCCAGGAAAAGATGCCCGTGGGTTGCACAGGAGGAGGATTCAATTCAGGGACATTGGCAGCTGTCCCTCTGGCCCTCATGCTAAAATCATACAACTTAGTATCTCTGTATGACTCTGGGACCCTGCTGAGCTGCCATCCCTCTGCAGGAGCCCAGGGTGGATCCCTTCAAGCAAGTGTTTGTGTGCTGTCTTTTTAAGATGACACCTGGATTTTCACCAGCCTTCTGTCTCACCTGAATGGAAGGAATCCCCACTGATTTTCACAGCCATTTGTTATGTGGGCTCTTCTTGCCAGCATTGGTGTTCTGGGTTTAGGAGCCCTGTTTTGGGCTGAGACTCCCTCACTTTTCAGGGGGTCTGGGTTTTTCTTTGTGGAAAGATTTATAATTACTAATTCAATCTCTTTCTTTAACTATCAGAATTTGTTTAGAGAGATTCTTTCAAGTGCAAGGTCCCCACGGCTAACTCTAGCTGGTAGTGTTGCTGATCTGGCCCACTGTAAATGTGCTGAATACAATTGCTATTGGTTGTTAACTTACGTAGGTGAACAGGTAGAATAGTTTCTTGTGCTAGTGCTTTGGATATCATTTCAAATATAGTCTTATATGTAAATTATATGTAGTTTTAAAATGTAACAATGCTTATTAGCTTGTTTATCAGAAACATTATAAAACTCTTTAAATAAGAATTCAAATGCCTAGTAATATTTTATTTTAATGTTTTCAAAGGTTTTGAAAACTTTTCTTACTCCCTACAAAATATATGCACTCCAAATGGAGAAACTCAACGTCTGTTCTTCTGTTTACTACCGTGCTGTTTCTCTATATTTTCCCCTCTAAATACAAGTTTTCTCACTGGCTGTTTTTAAGATGTTTTTTTCAGTGGAAATTCTGATATATGTTGTCTTGCTTTACTGAACCTGTAGACCTGGACTGACTACTGAATGCCAAGCATTGTGCTAGGAGTTCTGATAGGAAAATTTTCTGAGAGAAATCATATTAGCTTGGCATATTGCATGTATATTGAAAAAGTAACCTTGTGGAAAAATATATGAAAATGTAGATTACATTCATAAATAGACTTCTAGAAATATTAGTAATGTTTCACAATAATTCAGTGAACGGACTCACAACACAGGGTAATTTGTACACATTTCCTTTTGAAATGCACATATTAAAATCTCACATATGCAAGTGTGTATGCGTATGTATATATGAAGGAGGGAGGGAATGGGATCTTATTATAATAACCACCTGAAATATTGCTCCTCTTTTGGCAGTTTCTGTCAATTATATTGTGGGTTTTTTTTTTTCTAATTTCTAATAGAAAAACAAGAGGAGAAAATAATGGGATCTTACAAATAAGCAGAAAAATATAGATACACATAGTTTATAAAGTTCCTTAAGTCATCTTGTAACAAAGTCTTGATTCTTACTCTTAGACCAGAAGATCAATTCAGAAGTTATTAGAATGGGAAAATAACAGATTATATCACAAGGTAAGAAATTTAAGCAAATAAGTACCCTATTTATATATTTGTATTATTAAATTGAAAAAAATGAGACTTTTTCAGGCCACAAAAGAATGGATTAGAGAATTAATACTCAATTTTCAATGTATATTCTTTAACAGGTATTTTTAAATTCTATTTTTTTTTATCTTGTACTTACTCTTGGATTGTTTTCAGTGATTTATTCAAATGTATTGGTAATAATTAGTATAAATTGATAACAAAATTCTTAACAAACTGTACTTTCTTAGCTTGCTTTACACTGGAAGTTGACTAAAAGGAAATGTGAAACTAGCAATATGATGGAGTATGTAAGTATGCAGTTGTTTTTTAATTAAACTATTGTTGATCCCATCCTAATTGTTACATTTTACTACATTTACCATTTGTCAAATCATCTTTCTACCTTTTTTCTCCTCAGGCTGAACTTTAATCAGTTAGAACATAGAGGTTTTCTCCACCTTCTTTAGATTTGTAGCCAACATAAGATATCTTGAAAGCTAGCAGTTATTAAGAGCTTAGAAAAATCTCAGCTAGTGTGCTCAGATGAAAATATTGCACACTGACCTGGCTGATGTGGCTCAGTTGGTTGGGCATCGTCCCATGCACCAAAAGGTTGCTGGTCCAATTACCAGTCAGGGCACATGACCAGGTTGCGGGCTCGATCCCCAGTAGGGGGTGAGCAAGAGGCAGCCAATCAATGTTATGCTCTCACATCAGTGTTCCTCTCTTCTCCCTTCTTCTTTCTCCAAAAATCAATAAACTATTTTTTAAAAAAGAAGCCTTGCCAGTGTGGCTCATTGGATAAGCATAGACCCATGAAACCAGGAAGTCATGGTTTGATTCCTGGTCAGGGTACATGCCCAGGTTGTGGGCTCCATCCCCCGTAGGGGGCATGCAGAAGGCAGCTGATCAATGATTTTCTCTCATATTGATGTTTCTATCCCTCTCTCACTCTCCCTTCCTCTCTCTGAAATAAATAAAAGCATAGTTTTTTAAATTGTTAAAGTTTTTTTTTTTAAAAAAAAGCAATGATTGTTTTTTAAAAGAAGAAAATATTGCACAACTTTAATCTTTTAACATAGGTGCAAACCATTGCATATGGTGATGGGCACAGCTGTAATCTTGTTGAAGCTTGCTTAATATAGGAACTGATTTCTGGATTCATTTGCCTGCCTTTTTTTTTCTTAGCTGACATTTTTTAGTAAAGAAACTGTAGTTTCTATATTTTTTACTGAAACCTAGGCAATCTTAATCATAAAACATAAATTCACATATAGCCAATGTGATGAATTCAACATCATTAACATTGAAAAGAATATGAAATTTATCCAAGTTTCAAGTTGCTGACATGCAGTATATCCTATATAATAAATAGGTAATATGCAAATTGACCATCATGCCCTAGCACAAGATGGCTGCCCCTATGTGGACACAAGATGGCCGCCCCATGTGGTCACAAGACAGCCGGCAGGGGAGGGCAGTTGTGGGTGATCAGGCCTGCAGGGGAAGGCAGTTAGGGGTGACCAGGCCAGCAGGGGAGGGCAGTTAGGGGTGACCAGGCCTGCAGGGGAGGGAGGGTAGTTGGGGGGGACCATGCCTGCAGGGGAAGGCAGTTGGGGGTGACCAGGCAAGCAGGGGAGGGCAGTTAGGGGCAATCGGGCCAGCGGGGGAACAGTTAGGCATCAGTCAGGCTGACAGAGGAGTGGTTATGGGGTGATCAGGCTGGCAGGCAGAAGCGGTTAGGGGCAATCAGGCAGGCAGGCAGGCGAGCAGTTGGGAGGCAGCAGTCCTGGATTGTGAGAGGGATGTCTGAGGGGTCCCAGATTGGAGAGGGTGCAGGCTGGGCTGAGGGTTCCGCCTGCTCAGTGCACGAATTTCATGCACTAGGCCTCTAGTATTTAATAATAAACATTCCATTTCCATTGCCTAAATAAGGATTGTTATGGTATCTTTCTCCACTTTGAATAGTTTTTTGAGGAAAATGTACTAATGACCACAAATCTAAAATCTACTATTATAAATTTACATATTAAATTTATGTAACTTTACAAATATCTTCGTAAATATCTTTTCATTATTATATTTTCAAACCTTTAATTAAAATGTTTTAATCCATTTAGACACTTTATTATTTTTTACAAACAACTTGTAAAAGATAGTAATACTCAAGCAAATAGCAGCTTTAATAGAAAAATATATAGATGTAATATAGATAAAGGTATTTTTCTAATCCTTATAGCACAATTTTAATTTCTTCCACTTTGCTAAAAAAAAAAAAAGGGAGGGGGAAGATGTGGAAGGACATAATAATGTAATAGGGTTTACTTTTCTTCACCTAAACAAATAGTTATTTTAAATCAGGTAATAAAAACTGTTAACTACAGTAAGTAATTATATTTGCCAATTTGATTTAATTTTCAATCTAACAAAAATGTGTGGTAAATTCTTTTTATAACTGTTTTATATATTCCACTTATAAAATATAGTCCTGTGAAAAATGAGTATAAGGTTTCTGGGATATATGTAAGATATAGTAAATGAAAATTATTATGTCAAATATTCTTGTTTGTTTTTATTTTACAGGTAATACTAATAGAATTCTTACCAAAATATCCCATATTCCGACCTGACTGAGGAATTTTATTCAGTCACTTCTGTGTTACCTGTCATTTCCTACCCTTAGTGCCTTGTAGATGATTTTGGAATGAAGATGGTCTCCTTTGCTGTGTTCAATTTATTCTTTATAATGGTAGAATATTTTCCTCACTCTTTTGTGTTGGTTTAAGAAGAAAATTTGCACATCTTTTTTTTTGTTGTTAAATGAGGCTTGTGTTTTGCACTCTCCATTTTTAAATAAATACACACATATATGTGTATATGTAGTTGCCATTAAAGATTAAACATTAGTGCTGGCGTTTTAAAAAAAAACCAAAAACTGTTCTAAGCATGCTGCCTTATAATTTTCCTACTTGCTGTTTCTAAATAGGCATCATTTTTCTAGGCTACTTTAATGCTCTGTAATCCCATATTAAACATACATAAATAAGCTATTGGTAGCTTTTAGCAATGGTTTTACTCTTTCCTGCTTATAAAGGACATGCAATTAATGGCACTCGTTTTGTCCTGCACTTAGCTAAATTATCATTTATGTTAGTGGATAAAATATTTAAACTCCTAACGACTTGTAAATATTGTCTCTTTGCATAATGTACAATGTGGTATGCCATGGTTTACAGAATTTAATATTGCTCTTACTGTATTGCCAACAATTCTGCATAGATTTTAATATGATTGAAGTTTGTAAGCATCCTTTGGAATGTACATACTGTTAACATGCTATTGTATGGCAAAGCCACAATAAGTATGTTAAAAATTTCAGCTGTAGAACAGGGTTGCCCTTTGTAATGAGTTGATTAAAATTGAAATAATTTGAGATATTCTGCCTTGCACCTGAAACGAAGAACCTGATTTTTTCCATTTAATTTAGTAGTTCCAGTTTTGTCCTCCATTTCCATCCCCAAAAGAATTCATTTGACATCTGACACATTTCACAACCTCAGTATTCTCATTTATTTACCTTAATGTTTCATTTCCCTTGTTTGAAAATACACACAATTATGACTTATAAAGGAGTATTTCAAGATTTCAAATGGCTTAGATGGTGTGTAGATCCCCATGAATGCCACTGCTAACCCCCTTTTGGAGTTCTGATATTCTACTTTGGGAAAGAGAGAGCTAATTGAAAAGCTGTACCTAAAGTATATGTAGTGGCTGAATCATAACTGATAAAATATTCTTAATCTTATTTTTGAGGATCTTTTTTTCAACATTTGGATATTATAAATAAGGAAAGACAAGTATTTAAACCAAAATATTTTACTTTAAAAATTCACCCCATATATAGCCTTTTCATTGGTATGTGCATATTTCGCCTCACAATTAAGATAAGTGAGCCCTCACTGGTTTGGCTCAGTGGATAGAGCGTCGGTCTGCGGACCGAAGGGTCCCAGGTTCGATTCCGGTCAAGGGCATGTACCTTGGTTGTGGGCACATCCCCAGTAGGAGGTGTGCAGGAGGCAGCTGATCGATGTTCCTCTCTCATCGATTTGTAATTCTTAGTGCTAAAAATAAAAATATCTGGGACTGAATAATATTTTATTTATTACCTTTTATTGCTTTTAGTAAAGTTTTTTAGGCAAGCATTTATCCCAGTAAAGAGAACAATCATTTCTTCATACAAGGTCAAACATTTTAAAGCCACTTGTAAAATTTATGCGTACTTTGACATCCACAGTCTTATACCAGTAATAGAAGAGGGGGAAAAAGAAACCCTATTTGATATGTGACTATAATTTTTGTGCAAACACTTTTTCACCTCCCTCAGTAGAGCCCCATTACCATGCCACCCAGCCACCCAGAATCTAACTTTTCATATGTTGTGTGTGTCTGCAAATACCATGTTTCTATGCTGCACAACTGAAGGTGTATTTTTATAGACAAGGTGGAAACCTCTGAAGATGCATACCAAATGTCTTTTTTTATAGGTAAGGTCAGGGAAACATTTTATCTGTGGTTTATGTTCCGGCTAATATCATCAGGTTTATGCTTCAAACTGTGACAGTTTAATACCAAAATTGATTTGAAAAATAATACAAAATTCCTAATTATCACTGATAGAATAATTACTTGTAAATGTCAATCCATAAAATCTCATTTTTTATATAAATTTAGCATTTAGCCATGTGATGGTCATTGTAACTTTTTCTACCATGTATAAATCACACTTGGTTTTACTCAAAGAACAGCAGAAAGTAGTGAATCGTTTCCATGATATAAATATTGAGACAGGAATAGAGTGCATCTGAAGGTCACAGAGTATAATTCAAGTTACAATAGTATTTGTTATAAAAACCATTTGTATAAACTTAATTTTAAAACCTACTCTAATTGCTTTTAAATGTATTACTTTATTGATCATTATGCTGGTTGACTCATTTTATTTTCTTGAAACTATTCAGAAAATAACCAGTATTCTTTTTTACTTTCTTATATGACTGCTTTTTCAAGCTATTTGCATTTGGCTGGGGCTAATTTTCATTTGGGGTTTTAGAATGCTTTGGGGGAGAGATTGTTTTCAATGAAATTGGCAACAGTGAATGCTGAAATGACAGAGCACACCAGTGGTCATTAATTCCTCCCCCTGGTCTTTTTTTCTTTTATCCTCAGGATAGAATGTACTCAGATATTTTCATCAAGTTAGTAAAATATTTTTGTGAAAGTTGTTTTTTAATTGAAGAAAGTAATTTTTAATTTTTTTGCTACATAATAATCCTTTATTAAACTTGCTGTGGTCATTTCCAGAGAAAATAACATGTATTTGCCAAAGTATATAAATCTCACAAAGCTTTAAGGTTACAAGTTAAAACTGGTTCCTCTCTAACTTACCTTTATGCAGCTCCATCCCCATTACACCTTTAAGCACTCGAATTGTAGATAAAATGAAATAAACCTTAACCCTTTTCCACTATTCTTTGTTCCCTTTTAACCCTCATGTTAATTTAGGAAAGAGACCATTGTAGTCAACTGTTAGAAGTAGATGGGAAAGTGCCTTGTCTTTTTTGAACAAAATTAGCATCTTATGTGAAAGGAGGCAGAATAGATGAATTGGTAAAAATTAGATTTAAAACTATCTTTTTAATTAAGTATATTTCACTAACACATTATATTTCTTCTACTTGTTTAAATCTGTTTAAAGCCTGTTTTTTTTTCTTTCCCCCTAATCATGTGATCCATTAGTGACAAAATATTACAGAACAAGACTATCAGTCACTCACAAAACTAGTTTAATTCTAATGCTAGTGCAAGTGTAATTTAACATGGTTCTGGAACAACAATGGTCTTGGATTGAAGCCCCACCAAAACCCACTTAAGTATTGAATAGACATACTATTCATATTATTATGACCTATAAATACTGTCTGATCAGTTGAACTGTATTAATACTCTACCATTTTTAATGAAATTTATTTTTGTTTTGTAATAATTGGAGTGAAGTTCCACAATATCTGTCTTTGAAAAAATAGGGTTTTTTTTTTCAAATGTATGAGAGCTTTAAAAATTAACATTTTAATTTTGCTTACAAATAACCCACCACTTACAAAATCAAACCTCAATAACTCACTACTACCTGAGGTTGTGGGTTCAATCCCTGATCAAGGCACAAACAAGAATCAACCAATGAATGCATAGATGGGTGGAACAAGGGATCAATATTTCTCTCTCTCTTACCCCCTCCCTCTCTTACCCCATCCCTCTAAAAATCAATCAATAAATAAAATATTTTTAAAAGAAACCTCACTGCTTGAATAATATTTCATTAGAATTTATTTTTATCTAGAAAAATATAGAAATTATATCTGTTTAATGGGAGCAGTTTCACATAGTGGAAATATTTTTTGCTAATTTGATTATAAGATGCTCAAATTTATTGAAATTAGATCCTCCTATGCCTATAAAATTCTACTTTAAAAATCCATTTTGCAACAATTGTCAAACTGTTTGGGTTCCTTTAAATGGTGAACTATAGGAAAATTTTCCACAGAAAAGAAATTGGTTTATTAACATTACCTTTTTATGTAATATGTGGTCTAAAAAATAAGGTTGATGATGGCAACCTGAGAATATGTTTTCTTTTCTGTGGACTTCAGATTCATACTATATGAGGAAATTATCTAATCTTATGGGCTCCTTAAAAGTCACTTAAATTACATGTCAATCTCTTTATCTGTAAAATTATGGGGTTGAGCCTAGAGCTAGACAGAAAATTAGAAATCACCTAATCATATTCTTTGATTTTAGGAATCCTTAAGAAATTTTTACCCTACAGAATCTCAGAATGATTTTTCTTAAATCTACTACACTTTGTGAGTATTCCCACAGTGCCTTGCATGCAGTAAGTTTGATTCACCAACTGGCTCCTAGCTGGTATGTATTCATATCACACAGACTTAAAGAACCTTATGCTTGCTAGACCTCAGCCCTATATGGTAATAAGAATTAATGTAATTTCCCTAGGAACTGAGGACAGGTCTGTGGTGTTTGCCTATGTGGAATCTAACTACATAGTTGGTATCCAGACAAAAATTATAGCTGTAACAACAATGGAGATATGGGAGGACCTACTTTAACATTAATGTAAAAAGTTTCATATTCTATCCGTTATCTGTTTGTGACTTATTAAGCTCCACATCTTCAAAAAGATCAGTTGGAACAAATTGATAATATTAAATGGAAAGGAAAGTGGTATGAAATTCAAACCCAAGTCACTTCTGGTTGGTTCAGTTCTTAGCTCTGCTGCTTAATTCCTCTGTACCTTGTGTCCTCATTGTGTAAGTGGGGACAATATTCTTGTCCTACCTCACAGGGGAATTGAAGATTTTTTCATATATTAATGTGATTTTTGAAGTTTACTAGAAGATATACTGGACATCATAGTTTTGTATTTTTAAATAAATTGCTTTAAATCTGTTATGTTTTCTTTCTCAGTTAAACCCTGCATAATGAGTGTTACAGTTAATCTGATTTTCAGTGGTAAATTTTGTTACCAATCCCCTATGTGTTAACATGGGTAGTTGTGTTATGTTATGTTATGTTATGTTACGTTACGTTATGTTACGTTATGTTATGCTAATACTTGATTTAGGGAGGAAAAGCGGGTAGATATAAACCAGTGGTTCCCAACTTGGGGCAGATGAAGATAGCAGTAAAGGCATCTTTGAACCCTTTTCAATATTTCAAAAAGTATACTAGAGATCATATATTTGCTCATAATATTTTTTATGCACAAGTCAACTAAGAAATTGAATTTCCATGCATTTTGCTTATATTTTTTCAATTCTATGTAACAGTAGTTATGACACACTGATCAAAAGCTGTGGATGGCAGCAGAATAATAAAAAAAATCAGAAAGCCTATTACATACAATTTAGTAAACAAAATACTTGAAAACATGGGAAGGAATAATAAAGGGATTCTTATGGTGAAATGTTGGGATCCACTTTTATAAAGTAACTAAGATTATTTGACCCTCTCCACAGGCTGCTTACCCCATCCCTAAATAATGAAATGCTAGATTATGTGTGTTTGTGTTTTTGGCAAGATTGGACTATATAACTTCGAGTTAGAACTTGCCTTCAGTTTTGTTTGTTTGTTTCAGAATTATATAACTGAGCTAATTTATTTAGATGTGTATGTGAAGTATACATACACACACATAGAATTGCAAATGTGGAAAGTGTTATAATGTCATGTTCTAGCATCAGAGTAAAAATCATCTTCTGAGATTCAAAGTAGTTCTGCTCATAAACTCAATGTGATGAGTCAAGGCAATACTTTCTCAAAGTTCCTTTTATTCCTGCTTATTTTCTTTGCATTTATCTTGGATTAATTTTCTATTTTTCTAGTAAGCAAATAGTATAAAATTGTTTTAATGGACTTCGAAACAAGGTATAAATGTTTGAAATTATATAATCTGTGAGCTAGTTTGCCATCCTTGGACTAACCACATATAAATATGAGTCTCACCTGCAAAAACAAGAAATCTTGGTAGCCAAAGCAGGCATTGATCAAAACATCTGTTTGAAAAATCTAGGATTTCTATTTTTTGGCAGAGGATTCCTATTGGGACAAGTTTTCTAGAAAAGAATAGAAGTGGCTATGTCCATTCAAGCCAAGAACTTCCATGCATCTTATATTGTTACATAGCCTGTGGAATGAATTCATTTTTCTCCTTTGAGTTCTGGAGTAAACCCCCGCAAGAACTTAACCTATTTATGGCTGTGCCAAAATTAAGAATACCTGCCTCTCAGAAACTTTCGCTGCTGCTTCTGTCATCGTTCACTTGTCAGATATAAAATTTTATTATCTCAGGATGCAAAATTACAATAAAGTGCAAATCTATGTTAATGAATTGAATTGTGTGTTCTTTGCTGAATCTTCCTCTCTTC